TTTGAGAGTCCAATTACTTATTGCAATGAAAATCCAAACATGTTCGATCCTTATTAATATAAAAGTAAGAATCTTAAATTAAAAAAAAATGGCGATCTGTCCGCGAAACACGTTGGAAACATCAAATCTTTACTAGGTGCACCAAACACTGTCTTAATTATTTCTTTTTCTTGACTGAGGTGAAGAAGCTTTGACAATGGGCATTAGTGAAGTTTCTTGAAGGATAAGAAAGAAAGAGTAAAAAATTAATGGTAGGCTTGAAGTGGAAAGCTCACCCCAATGTGGAAAGAAAAGGAATGTTAAACAAATTAAGTGGTCCAACCTCTCTCACTCCAACAAACTTAATCAATTCGTTTTTTTAAGGCATTTGTCAACATCTTTCATCGTATTGCGTTTGAAGAAGCCAATAATACACAATAAACTTGTCCATTAGTCCTTAGAAGAGTCCAGATAGAATTCGATTGATTATAATGATGATAGTGCCAACGAGAAAGACATGAAATATATATTTAGATCGATAACGAGTGAAATTATTAAACTTCTTTTTTCAGAAAGAGAAAAAATTAATACGCTTTGATTCGGCCATAAATGTGATTAGATTAGAACCTAAGATGAAAAGGACAACCATAAGCATGAAGCTTCCTATACATGAAAATCATTTGGTTATACTATAAGAAGTTTAGATTGTCCAGAAGATTCTTAAACAATTAGACACGGAAGACAGAGAGGCAGGCTTGTCAACTTAACAATGGGCGAGGTGAGAGAGAGGTTGGCCCATCATTCATTGGACTTGAGGCCAAAAACAACTATAGGGAATCGAAAAAATCAGATGTTTAGATAATCCCAGACGTGGTAATGGTATCATGTAATTGATGTTTAATTTGATAACTAAAATTATTTCATTAAATGTGATGATATCTACCTTGCACTATTTGAAATCTTTCATTATTAGTAAAAATATCTAATATTCCTATAATTAGAATTTTTAACGAATTAGATTCGGATCGATTATAATATATCTACATATGATTTGTTTGATAAAACATATCAAGTTTAATGAGTATAGATCCAATTTTGAAAATATCATTTTAGATCCGGATCGAATTCGAAACTCTACCAATATATCATTTGGTTTTTATAGAAAATTTATATTTAATATATTATATCAATATAAAATGTATTTCAACCATTACATGTATAAAAAATATATATATTAAGATAATATTTAATCTATTAATTTTGTAAAAATTCAACATGAAAAACAATTCAAAAACACAAACTCAAGTAATCCCAATAAAAAATTGCTTTGAACAAAGTAGGAAGTACTACAAAACTAAAGAAAAACAATAACAAATAGTCTTTCATTTTCTGTTCACATAGTAGCAAAATAAATATTTATTGATTTGAATTTTAAGATGATACCAAGTCAAAAAGAAAAAAAAAGAAAATAAAACTATTAATATTATCATGTTTACAACAACAAGTTCACAAAAATTTATTAAGACATATAGCGAATATCATCATCAAATTTGAATCAAATAAAATAATTATTTTTTAATATATTCATCATTCAACTCCGCAATAGCTCGTATCTAAAAAATAATACAAATATGTTAAGAAAAAGACAAATAATAATTTTTATAATTGATTAATACATAAAAAATAGAAATATAATGAGTTTAAATAAATGAAAATATCATACATTTTCTGTTTTGATTTAAAAACCAATCACTAGTAGTAGTTATTATCTCTACCACTGCTAAATATAAAGATATATGATAATCATTAATTACTTTACCTCTCATGTTGAATTCACTTTTGGAAGCAATAGTAATTGTTGAAATAAGTACAACCTCACGAGCAATTTTTGCAAGAATAAAGAATGTATCAAAATTAACATCTGTTTGTCATTAGCTCTATATATCTTTACCACGCATCAACCTAAATGATTGTCAAGTGCGTAATTTTTTTACTACTTTGGCCTACAAATCCTTTTTTATGGTGCTTATACTTAGCAATATCATCTCAATATAGTACCTTTTCAAAATCTTGCCATGCCTTTGATATCAATTTTCTTTGTCTAGATAAACGTGGATTTGTAGTAGCCTCAACCTTCATAGCTTGTTTGCCTTTATCTCCATTCGGTATAGCCATCTAGTAAATAAAAAATAAAAAAAATCATTAGATAAAATTATAAGTGTTAAACGCTATATTTCTCAAATTCTTGAGATGCATTTATATCAAATATTTTTAGTTAGAGGTAATGTTTGTTTTGGCATAAACTAAAATAAATCAAAATGAATACCATTAATCAAATATACTTTTGAAAATTGCATATTTAGTACAAATTAAAAAAATCAAAATAAATACCAAACGAAAGTAGAAAATTATGAAATTTAAATATAGCTTAAAGATACATGTATTTAGAATATATTAAAATTTTAGCAAAATGCCACATAAAATAAATTTGCCCAAATCATGAAAACACATGGATTTCTTTTTTGGTACTCGCTCATTTTGTTTGTTTTTTCCCAGTTTTGCCCCTACATCTTTTTTCTAGCTTTCTTCTTTCAATTTCACCTCAATTTGTTTTTTCATAACATAAAGAGGCTACTTATATATATTTTTTATATATTTAAAATTTTATATTTATTAAAAAAAGATATTATTTTATTTCGGATTGGGTTATTATCAAACCGAATCAAAGTAAAATCACATTTAATTTATTTAATAAATGGATTAACAAAATAAAATTATAAACTTGCTTACCAGATTCATTAAACAAAATCACATTCGGTTCAAGATCCGATCATTGACATTTCTAACTAGAATTTTCCTAAATATAAAATCTGCTACATTTTTACTTAAAGCATCATTATATTATATAATCATTTATCAATCACACTATTTTATTAACAAAAACATTGAAATAAAATAAAAATTACAAGTAATTAATTGAAAAAAATATTGGAGTGAAATTAGATTTAGTTAAATGATTAAGTATTAATTCACTAAAATCTAAATATTTGGATTCATTTTTTCAAAAAGAAAATTACAAATTTAATGTTGTATCCAAAATTAAATGTATTCTTTTACTAATTATTTTCCTGTATTTCTATGTTTCTGATACATAGAGTGGATGATATCTAAATCCAATGTGTACGTAATTGAACTTCAGAAAACCATCCCTAGTCCATCATAGGACTAACGGAAACAAAAGTAATTCAATTGCTGCCGCTTTTGGAAAAATAGTAAAAACACCCATTAGGCATCTGTTTGCACATTTCACAAGTACGGATCAATTTTCTTTGTAAACAGATAACTGGTATTCATTTTATTTCAAAAAGCTCAGTCAGAACGGTACAAGGTTTCCCATAAATGAAACAGATCGGTGGAAGCCGGCTCACCCAAAATTATTAGCTCCAGCTTATCCTGAAGAATTTGTTTTTTTTGTTCAGCAAACCAATGAACACCTTGATAGTAAAAAAGCCAAAGCTACTACAACTGGTGGCCATGCGAGTCCTCGTCAATATTTTCCACGGCCAAGCCACCATACCTGTTGTTCCCTTCATGGATCACTACTACAAGACCAGAGTTCGAATTATTCTTCCCTAATGGCCACGGAAAATACCAGGACAAAAGGAGCAAGCAACCTGCAAGAGGAAAGGGCAAAAAAAAAAAAAGCCCCTAACATTTTAAATCAAAACATAAAAAGGCACCATATGACTGCAAAATATATATATATATATGCGCAAATCAGACACTATAGGCTGCCACGCCTTCTCCTACATATACCCGAGAGAAGATCTAAGTCTCCAACTGTGTTTTTGCAGTCGACAGCAAAGAAGCACAATGATGATAAGAAAAAAAAAGGCCAGTTGGAAGTTTATCTAGCAAGCAAGTCCAATGGGAGTCTACCTATCTGAAGCACAGCTTGGACCATGGTACAGAATGGAGAATTGGATGGGGATTAGCACTATATGCCAAAGCCTAAGTTTCAAGAGAGTTGTGCAATGACAAAGAATGCTAGGTCATGGCCATTGATTGTAGCTCTGCTTAAACGTCAGATTGAATTATCTGATAAAGTTATAGCATGAAGAATAATGAGTAGGTAGAACATTGGACTTTAACTAGAATATTTTCTTCTTCTACGATTGCATTGCACCGGAGATTAGTACATATTTCAATTTTGAAAGCAAACAACACAACATAGCATTAGACAGATTTCAATCCAACTTGGAAAGAGAAAAATACAGCATGCACCCTTCATATATATCCAACAGGAGCCTGGCAAAATTTTAATACTAAAGGACTGAAACAGGAAGGAAGAAGAAGAAAGAAAGAATTGCCACTATGCATTGATAAGAGTCAGAATTCTGCTATCTTACAGCTTCACAAGCAACAAATTGAGAGAAATTAAAGACTCAAGATGCCGATATACCATCCCTCTTCAGCAATTCCTACAAAAGCAGACATCAAAAGATTAGAGCATAGCAATCAATGCAATTTATTCAACCTTTCATCTTTACATCCAAACCTATACCGTTTTGGTAGCAGCAACTGACAGACGACGTCTTTCTTTTTCTCACGTCGACAATCTCCACACCAGCTGGAAAAATCATTTTGATGTTTCTTCAGCTCTCGAAAAACTGAACTGAAAAGTATTAAAATGAAAACGGAAACAAAAATTAAGGTCAGTATGCCACTACCGTTATTGAAACATACATGACAAACAATTTGGCAAACAGTGCCAACTTCCACACTACCTGAGCACCAAACCACTGAAAGGAAAATAAGATAAAATTTGCAGCTCTCATTCAAGAATGCAATGTAAACAAAAATGTTATGTCCTCTATATTTCTGTGTCTAAAACATGAAGTGCATTGCCTTATCCTCAGAGCCACAACACGTTGCATTAATAGTGTTTCTTTTGTGTTTATTTGATTATGTAGGATTCGAAAATTAGCCAGTATTATACCTTTGATTTCAAGGTTTGCATTTCAATCCTGGTCAATGCAGTAACTGTATTAGGAAGGAATCATGAATGGATGTTAAAAGGAAGCCTGAGAATTAGATTCTCTGAGATTCCATAGTAGTTCAAAACTATGCTATCATTGAGACAAAGAAGTTGTACCTAAAGTTGAGTCCTTTCATGCAAAAGAGAGGATGCAAAGTGCAGAAGAAAGGAGAGGAAAAAGATACCTTCTGCACCATATAACTAAGTTGACCCGGTTCCCGGAAATAGTAGCTCTTGCACCATGCCGATGGCGACCGCGATGAAGAACCGCCCGTCCCGGAACATGGGCATAATCAAAAACTTCCTATGAAATGTAAGGAGAACAAAAAATACCAAATCACATAAAGCTCCAGTTACCTAAAATTTCCTATCATCTGTAAGGGGAACAAAAATGACCATTAGAAAAGGCTCTAGTTAGTTAAAATTTCCTTTTTCCCCTTTGCCAGGCTCTATTTTAACATATCAGGTTTCATCCTACTTGGCATCATGAATAATTACAGAAAAGAAGTGCACACAAACATTGGCTTATATAACTGAGCAACACTGTCCACACGTAATTTAGAGCTACATTGTAGATAATTGTTGAAATAATATTGCATATTAGATCTTAAGTTAGTTGTCCTCCCCGCCCCTCCCTCACAAACCAACCCCCCCCCCCCCCACACACACACACACACATTTAGGGCTTCATTGACCTGGTCATATGCCCTTTCGAATTTTCCTATCAGATTATTCCTAACCAATGCTAGTCAGAAATATTTCTAATTGAGTGATAATAAGTGATATTTTTAAGAAAACTTTGTAAAGAGACTGAAAACTTGAATGAAAATATGACTACATGTTAGACCAACATAATATAAAAAATGAAAAAGAAAAATTGGGCCTCAAGTTAAACTGCAGCACTCTAATCCTGAAAATTAAGATACCTCTGATTGGGATTCTGTATTCACATGTTTATCACATCGAACACCACGGAAGAACAAATCTCCACCATAAAATTTCTCACCCAAGCAAACATTCAAGGTGACTTCGGAGTCATCAACATGGAAACCTACAAAGAAGGATGTAAGGTGAACAAATAAAAAGAAAAAGAGAGAGAGAGCGAGAAAAAGAGGAGGTGGTGGCAGCAAATTAGTTTTGCAACTAGTGATAGAAAGCTTTCTCACTAGTGATAGATATGCAAAGGCAAAACATTAGCTAGCAGCCCAGAAACCGAAACCATTGACAAGAAATAAATGACACCAACACTGATTCAAACATGACAGTGTGAAGATGTAAATCCTACCCAACTAACACGTTCTAAGAATGAGGAAAAAATTCATGCAATGCTTTTGGAACAGAAGAATCAAAAGAAAGATCAGAGAAGGTCCGGGTCCTTGTAACTTCATTTAGTTTCCACTACTGGATGATAAAAGTATCACCAAATATGATAGGCTGGATAAATATTATTATTCAAAGTGACAGATGGTAATATGATAGGCTGGATGAATATTATTATTTAAGCGACTGATGGCATTAGCAAAAGGAAGGTTCAAAATTAGCACCTACCAAGCTCGGTATCCCTATTAACTCCATATTCAACAACAAAACCATGGTGAGAATCCAGAGTTAATCCACCCACCTCAGGAAAGAAAACTACACAGAAATAAGAGCACCAAAATGAGTTTTTGCTGTATTTGTGTGCTGATTGTGAGTTTTAATATATAAGCAAAGAGCCTTATCAAATAGAGATACATTACCTCTAGACATGGGACATATATAGTCATTCATCAACTTATGAAGCATGGTTTCCAGTCCAAAGTCATCGAGAACAACACCATATTTGTTCATAGTGTTTGGACAAATTATATGGAACCTTCGATCATGCACCCATCTTTCCATGCTTTCTACCTAAGCAATCAGAATGCCGTAATTAACAAACTAAAATACAAGAAAAATCATGCTATTTGCATGAAAAATGACAAGAAGAATAAAATAAAACCTCATCTATTAACATTTCACAGAACTTTGGCTGAAACACTTCAAATGTATAAACTCCTGGTGTTGGTTCCACCAGTATGCTTCTGAAGCTCTCTTCTGTGTTCTCACTGATTGCTTTGAGAAATGAAGGTACAAAGAAATTTGCAGCATTCATAGTATACACCTCCTTATGTCGAGGCTGTGACAAGAAGCAACTGGTCAATAAGCTGAATGTACAAAAAGAAAAACACAAGACAATTAATGCTTGCAAGCTATAACCAAAACATGAAAATCCAAATTGTGGCAGGGAGATTAAGATCTCATCTAATTTTGGAAAATAATTCTTCACTTATCACCAACTGTAAAGTATTTAACAGCATTTTTTCAGTTGTGAGAGAATGGATGTGACATCAGCTATCATGAAAGACTTTTCATATTTCAAAGAAGTGGGTAAGTGCCTGCATAAACATTAACATCGTAGACAGTGAGAGAAACTTTTGCACTCAGAAAGCATTCGTGCTAATGGACAAAGGTTTATACTAAGAAAGCGATGCCAGGGATGGAAAAAAATAATAACAGTCAGTCTGATGTTGAAAAGACCATAGACTAACATAAAACGTGGTAAATAAGGATACATAAAATATGAGCATTAGACTTCTATATTAGCAAAAAAATAAAATAAAAAAGATAAGAGAAAATAGCATTGATAGCTAAAAAGAAGAACAAGAGCAGAGTAAGTCATCCTTCGAAATATGAAAGCAAAAGAAATATCATAAAGCAGCCAATTCTGCTGAATATCAGCTAAAGAACTCCCCTCAAAGCACCTGAGGCATCACACCAGAGAAAAAAGGAAAACTATCCTATCCCATGCACAACAATTGTCTCGAATTACTTCAGATTAAAAATTCAAAAATGAAATAGACCTCATAGCTTGATAGAATCTGCTGTCTGTATTTTCTGTGCTTTTGAACCTGCCAATTTGCATCAGATATCAGTGACAACAGTATGACCATTTAGAAAAGAAAAGTAAGAGAACATATGATAAGACCAACGACTATCACTAGAGAGCTGCATTAAAATTTCTCGCAACTCATTGATTCCCACCACACTATTAGCAGTTCAGGACATTGTGAACCTCTATGGATACGATCATTTTTCATTAATAATTTAAGATTGATTGGAAAATTTCATTTCCTCAACCTTTATCTTACGCAATGTTTAAATTATAGCATCCCCACAAAGGAATGGTTTCTCACAAAAATCGATCCAAAAAAGAAACAAAAAACTCAAAGCTCAACTTCGGAAAGAACCCTATCACCATGACTGATGTTGCTGATCATGTGTCATTCGTAGATTAGTCAGGACAAGGTCCTTTATGCAAAATAGAGAAAGACGTGGCATCAAGAAAAATCTAGCTTTACTCTTAAAGCCCACATTCCCACTAATCTACAAGTGAGTTCGGCTTTAAGTTATCAAAGGGGAAAATGAAAGGCCAATTTTTATCCAAGTCCTACTCATGCTAATATCAATCAACCCTGTGCATGAAGAAACAGATTCCCTCCCACCCAGATTACACTAATAATTTTCTGAAATTCAATTCTCAACTTCGTATAAATAAAGAACAAACATTTTCATAAACCATCAGAAAGAGCGATGCCATTAAGAAACCGAAAAAAGCCACAAAAATAACAACATTTCTTTCAGTTACCCTGAATCACACAAGAACGAACGAAATCCAAGTTTACTTAAGTCGACAATGGCAAGTCATATGTATAATAAAGAAGTGAAGGAGGAGGAGGCATACGCGAGTGCGTTCACCCTGAGGAGAGTAGCGAGTGAGAATGTCACTCAGGAAGTGGACTTTACGATCACGCGGCAAACTGAGCATGTTAGGAGGCAAGTATCGCTCTAGAGAGCTGAAGAGGAGAGGACTGTAATCCAACTGCATGTCCTCGTAGCTCTCCGGGTTGTGCTCCTTGTTCTCGAACGGTATCAGCCTCTGCATCGGTGGCAATTCCACTCCGTTCCCATTCTCCCTCACTTTTTGAGTCCCATCATTCGTGGACATTTTTCAAAAAATATATATATGTACACATATAAATCAGGGAGTGACAGGAATTATGGTATGTGGAGATTGTATGGGGTGGTTTTTGCTGCAGATTAGGGTTTGTAATTTTTTCTTTTTTGTTAGTTGTTGTTGTTCTCTCTGCTGAAGCACCAGAATATGGTGCAGGACTTAGTTCGGGTCGGCCCACCCACGGATTTTGACCCGAAAACTTAAAAAGATGAATGAATCTCGACGGAGTAGCGAGTCCAGGTTACTGTCTGAGTTTTGGACAGCGCCGAGACAAAAGTGAAGTGTTGTTTGGTATTTCAGGTTGATGTTTTTCAAAATATATTTGGAGTGGAAAAAACACTAAATTGATGTTTTTTTTTAATGATTTTCAATGGTTTAACGTGGAATCACAACCATCGAAAAATCATCTGGAAAGTCTTTAATTGTTATAAAAAAATTTGATAAAATAGCAGAATTGAAGAGAAAATGATAGAAAAATGAATTTATTATAAAATAAAATTAGTACAAACGATAATAAATCCAAATAATTATCTCAATCTCTATAAAATATTTATACATAAATTAATAAATAATCAAGCTTATTTATATACTTCAATATCAAGAACGAAATTAGAAGAAACTATAAACAATTAAAGGTGCATAAATAATTGAATCAATTATATCATTTTTTTAATTTTTCATATTGAATTGTGAATTGAATTATATTAAGAATAATAAGTGATAAAAATATAAAATGGACATTCATTATTTCATAACACTTCTCCTTGAATGTCCATTGTATAAAGATCATGCCTTGTTAAAAACTTATCGGGAAAACAATAGTCAACAAATCGAGTTGTAAAAATATCTTTTGTTCATGGTTTGAGATATTTAATCATCGAAGATGATTTAAATCCAACATGTATTTTCAATCTCCTTTAAATGCCTATTTTAGTTCCTTGTGGATGAGCATTACATATATATACTGGTACTATAGGTGCCCAAGAATCTTGTTTGGATGGTTTGACTTATTGTAATATTGCATTCTTTATTTTATTAATAAAAAAATTATTTTTATTAATTATTATTGTTTATATTTATTAATAGAATTAAATAGAAGTCCATGTGATATACATTGCATTAATGCTTAATAAAAAATGTGAGACAAATATTAATGCACTTAAATGATATCATTAAATGTCTCAAGTCATAGCATTATCAAGAATACACTTAAATAATATTGCATTCTTTATTTTATTAATAAAAAAAATCTTTCTATTAATTCTTGTTATTTATATTTATTGATAGAATTTGATAGAAGCCCATATGATATGCTTTGCATTAATGATCGATCGAAAGATATAACACAAACATTAATGCACTCAAATGCTATCACTAAATATCCCAAATTATAGCATTACCAAGAATAGACATTGACTATATGAAGCAAGATTTGTGAGTGTTATACTCATGCTATAAGATAGCGAGTATGAGATCTCACGCTTATTAACATGATGATACCAAAGCAAGCACTTAGGTGATTGATGTTAAAGAACATATCAATCGACTTGACTCGCCATGAGAATCCATTTGGTTTAGCTTATGGGAATCTCATACGAGATGGGTACAATCGATCTTTTAAATTGAAGTCATCACGGTTATCTCATTAAAGGATTTATGTACTTTAATACTCGTTTCGATGGACTCGGTTAAGAGTCTGTATATGGACGATTCATTGGGTACACTAGGAATATAATGGAGATAAGTGGATGACTAAGATAAGACATGTCATTTCTTATATGTTAAAGGAGTTATCACATTAAACTTCAATAAATGTTTGCTCAAGAAATCAGTAACTACGGTAGGAGTACACCAATAAAGTATAGTTGGTTTACTCTAAAGCTAAGACATTTGAAAATCGAAGAAAACTTATGTGATCATAATCAAACAAACTAAAAATCAAGTTCGAGATCACCCTATGATAAATTGACATGAAGACCGAATTATAGGATAACCATGCTCGTGAAAAATAATTACTAATTAATTAATCCTCCTTGAGAATTGTGTAACCATAATGTTTTGCTATAGCTCAATCTTGATTTATGTATCAAGAGATAAAAGAAGTGTTTTTTATTCTTAATACATTACCAACATATTTAGGAGCCTATTGGGTAACCACTAGAGTATTGAGAAACCACATGCATAAGTTTAAGCATTTAAATAATAAAATAGAAACAAAGATTTTGAAAAAAATTTATAGTTTTGAAAGTTTCTTACTTTGAAAAAAGGTTTCCGAAAATGAAACATGTCCTGTTTTGGAAAAAGTTTCCTAAAATGGAAAGTTTTTTATTTTAGAAATTAGTTTCTAATTTGTAAATAAGTTTCAAACTTGAAAATAAGTTACCTAAAAAGGAAATTAGCTTCCTAATTTAGGTTTAAGTATAATTTAGGAAATTGTTTCCTAATGTGAGCCTCTTTAAAAATATCCAACCTAATTTATTTGGATAGTTCAAATTAATTGGTAATTAATTAGGTCAAAAGAGTTTGAGCTAATAGGCCTAATTTAAAAGCTTGTAATATATTTTGATAGAAGGACAAACTTGACCCTTGTTTGATAAGGATCAAGTTTTATAAGGATATGATCAAAAAGCCCACATGCATTGCAGCTTTTAGTCCTTGGAGAACTAAGAAGTAACAACGTAAAGTCCTTTTAGAGCTTAGTACCACCACTTCATTGTCCTTAGAGGACAAGGAAGCCACTTTCCACGTAAACGAGAAAGAGAGGCGTGGCAAAAAGAGATAAGCATTAAGTGATAAACGGCATAGAAAAAATAAGAGAGAAAATAGTTTTCTCTCCTTAAAAATCGTGTCAACTCTCTCCCCCTCTCTCTTAGGGTTTTCATAAAATATTCTAAAATAGATTTCTAAAAAGAAAAATTAAACAAGTTTGAGAAAAGTGAAGCTAGCACTCTATAACTTTTGATTGCTTCTTGTGTGAGTGCTCGGACTACGTGGATTATTATGGAGATTGGACACTTGGATGACTTTTTTATGTAAAAGCTAAATCTACGCTACAAGAGGTAATCTTTTACTTACGTTTTAATTCTTATATGTATGATTAGTTAATTCAACGACTTGACCTTGGGAGCCTTAGATGAAGTGAAAATTTTTTATTTTATTTCGCACCTTCATAGGATGCATGATCCTTCATATAATGCATAGCAAAAAATTATTAGATGAGAAATATTTAGCTCATGACCACAAATTAATTGAAGAGGGAGAAATTTTTTGATAACTTATAGGTCGCTACATGTAAGATTCCATGTCTCCAATCATAAATATGGAGTTTTGTTTTTAAATAAAGGTTTAGTTATCAATTAAAGCATTTTAATAAATGATTCTGCTAAACCTTTCTAAGTATGAACATGAGCAATAGGTTGTTCAACATTCATCTAATAGTCAATCAATAATCATTTAATGTTTGGGAGATAAATTTACTAGCATTATCAAGGTAAATTGTTTTAATGACATAATCTAGAAATTATGCACATAATCAAATTATTTGAGCTAACAACATCAAAGATATCAAGTTTCGAGTGGAAAATAAGCATACATATGACCATCTTGTGAATGCATCTATTAAAATTATAAAATATCTAAATGGTTCATTTGATGGACGAATTGGTCCACATATATTACCTTGAATACGTTTCAAAAATACCGAATTGAATAGTCTCAATTTTACTCGATGATGATTTAATAATCAATTTGTCTTGAGAACATTCAGAATATAGAATTAATGAATCTTCTAGCTCTTCAATAGATGCCCATATGAACTTATAATAATTTTTTGCATCATAAAATATTCAAGATAACAAAATCGATCATACCACACAATAAAAGTATTTAAATTAGTAAATTCTCATTTAGTATACCATTTGTTTCGATCATTCAAATATTTATAATAAAGACTAAAAGAGAAAGCAAGTAAATTTTTCTATACATATTTTCTATACGATATAATAATTATAATATATAAGTATTCAATATTTTCAGCATTTGTTGTCTTGATATAATATCAATTTAGATGGATATATTTGAAACTTAATAAATTTTTATGAGACTTTTGAGAGAATAGTACATTATTTATAATAAAATTTATCATTTTAGAAAATTACATATTTGCCTTTCCGAATCCTTTAAATTCTATCACTTCAAGTAATAATATATTCACTCTTTAGAGACTTTAAAATTTGTCTCTTTAAGTAATAATACATTCACTATTCTAAAGCCTCTAAAATTGTTTATTCGGATAATAATATATTTACTCTTCTAGAGTTTTCTATTAAATTGATATAATCATATATAATACTAATACAAATTAATTGATTAAATAAATATAAAAAAATACATAATATATTCGCTCTTACGAAGTCTTCTATTTTAACCAATAAATTTGTAACTATCATTATACGATATAAATTATAAGAAATATAAAATATTTTATTTATGAATAGAAAAACTAACAAGTAATTAATTTCAATTACTATTATTTTGATGTATAAAACTGACCTCTATATTTTACTTTTTTTTTTTTAACGAGGCTTGATGACGCTTAATAAGGTGCTTTAGTGTATGCGGCTAATGTTCATTCATACTATATCTATAACATTCATTTGTAGAACACTAACTTGATCCATTTTTATTCTCTTTTTTTCCATAGTTTATCTATTTCGATGGTGAGGTGTATTATTATGGTCATCATGATTATAACGATAATTATTTCAACTACGTCCATGGCTATGATCACATTTTCATCCATGTCCAAAATTATTATAAGCTATCACATTTATTTCGGGGAATGGAGCGATTTAGTTGGGTGAGATTTATTATTTTTTATCAATAGCTCATTATTTCATTTAGCTATAAGCAAATACGAAATCGATTCAAAATATTTCTTAAAATCTTTTTCTCGATATTACTATTGCATGAGTATATTCAAGATGTAAAAA